TATCTGAAGTGTACCTGGCGTATAAGACGACCCCCCACTTGGAGGCATATTTTTCAGGGCCAAAAAATCGTCTTATACGCCGGCAAATACGGTAGATCTGATTCTTTTTTCCCTCCTTCTAAGAATCTCCATCTAGAAATAATTTTTTTCTATAAACTTTATTTTTCGTTTTTGGTTACTCTTCTCTGAATATAGTCAGGGTAAAAAAATAATGCGAAAAAAGTGTTCTAAATTAAATGATGGGACCAGCTTCTTCCAGAAAGGTGGGATACATTTCCTTCAACTAGGACATAGGTCTGGAGAGAGAAGGCCTGGGTGCCAACTTTGTCTCTGGTCATACCGGAAATGCTGATCTCTGTGCCTTAGCTCATGTTGTTCCCTTTGACTAGAATGCCCTTCCTTTCCTTCATCACCCAGAAAAGTCCAACCCATCCTTCAGGATCTAGGTCTCTGGTGCCTCCTCCAGGAAGCCTTCCCTGATGCACCTTCTCCACACCACACACCAACCTGGGACTGGATTCTCACAGCACCCCTCCTGGTCGCAGCTCAGCTGCTGTGCTTCCTGCCATCCATGAAACTTACTCTGCATATGCATTCTTTTCCCCCAACAGACTTTTTACATCTGAAAAAATACGGAGAGATCTACCTCATAAGGGAAAAGTGTGTGTGTGTGTGTGTGTGTGTGTGTTTGATCAACTAGATGTTCAGACAAATGTGAGTCCTAATTATTGGGATGTAAGACGTTCTATCCACTCCTTTCCTGCCTCTGAAAATGTCCAGAATCTTCCAGGATCTTCTCTGCATGCTCAGCCTCCTGCACACATGCCACATGGAGGCTCTGTATGATGACTTTGATCATGCTGTAGCTCTTTAATTAGAACAGCCTCGCCATCATCTTTATCTGAACGCTAGCCATTGTTCAAGGCTAAGTTCAGTGCAGCCTTTTAGTGAAGCCTTCCTTGATTGCCTAAGTCTGGCTTTATTACAAACTTCTCCAGAGCTTCGGGTTTGTGTTACCTGCAAGGCATATATAGCACCGTTGTGTACAATTACTTATTTAAAAAAAAAATATGACCTGTCTCTCTGACTAAGTTGTAAGTTTTCAATGTTTACAAAAATCATCCCAGAACCTAGCACAATGCCTGGCACATAGTAGGTGCTCCAAGCACTTGCTCACAGATTGGATGATGACCTCCCAAAGTGATTGATCTGTGCTTGGACCGTGATTAATACAGGTGGACTGAGTGACCACATGGAGCGGTCGATGCCATGGAAAGAAAAGTTTAAGGTTATTCACAGTTCCCCTAGAAATGAGAGGCACACCTCGCCAGGTAGGGCCACAAGAGGGAGCACCAGGGCAGCTCATGAGGCAGGAAAAGAACGAAGAGGCACGGGCCAGAGCCT